ATTCAAAGAATGTGGAGGATACAAAATGCTCTAATTCAATGTCTGGTTAAAACTACAGTGACCGAGTAATATACATTTTTTAAAAATCAATTTTCTGTAGATTTTGATTAGATTGTTATGGTATGATATGGACGTTTTTGCTGTACATCTTTTGATATATATATATATATATATATATATATATATATATATATATATTTGTGTGTGTGTGTGTGTGTGTGTGTGTGTGTGTGTGTGTGTAAGTGTAAAAATGTAGAAAAATAGGAAAGAACACGTTAGATAAATAATCCGGGGTTCTTTACTATTTTTGTTTTTATTTGTAAAAAAAAACAGCGCTCCGTATAGAAGTCGAGCTTAAATTATAATTATTTTAAAAATGAATATCATTCCTTCGCTACATAAGACTTCTCATGCTTCAAAAACAAGAGCCAAAAATATAATTATTGAAATTAAATTGAATTATAAAGATGCGCAAATTTCAAGATTGTTTATTCCTTAATTTCGCTTGAGGATGAAACAGGGCTTGATACTTTAATTCAATTTAATTTTAATAATTATATTGATGTTTTGGGTCTTGTTTTTGAAACATGAGAACTCTAATGTAGCGAAGGAATCATATTTAAAAAAATAATTATGATATATATATATATATATATATGTCTGTATAAATACCCTTATGTGATGAATTTGAGTTCTTTGTTGAGCGGCATATCAACTAGAAATGAGTCATTTTATACCGAAATTTTGTATCCTTGTGTGCCTTCGTATTTTTTTAAAAATTCATGGCTGGTAATTTTTTTTTTTTTTCAATAATATATTACTGGTAATTTTTTTTTTACTTTTTATTTCACTATGAAAATATATTGCTGGTACATTTATATAATGCATTTATATAGTTCCATGTTTTGACCCCAGTTTGGGAGTTGCTCATAGCTGGGACCCTAACAGTCTGGGTGGGCATAGGAAAAATTCTGTTGAAAATATTTAGATTTCGGCATTGAATAATACATAGAGGTTGATGTTCCGCGAAACAAAACCAACCAACCAAATTTCCCTCGACAATTATTTCTTTTTAGCAAATCATTTTTAAGCCAAATTACAAGGGAACTTTATCATCAATTTAAATGGTATTGCGCAAACAAATTCCGCAATGGTGTACTGTTTTTGCTGTCTTAATGTAACAAATAAAAGCATGCACAATTCGTATACGTATTAGTTAAATGCGTTGCTTATATCGTAAATAATTTCTCTCTAGATTTGGCGAAAATAACTCGATGTGCCAAAAAATATGATTATATTAATAGTAATCATACTTGGCTCACACTAGTTTGAATTCTGTGTAGATACTAAATAAGGTGCTGGAGATTTGAGGAGACACATTCTCCTGCGATAACCACCAGACATCTGATGTGAACATGCAAATACATGAAATATAATAATAATGGATACTGAGGAAGGTGCTGGAGATTTGAGGGGACTTGCTGTCACTCAATCTCTAGCGATCACCATAAGATATCTGGTATGAATATGCAAATGAATGAAATATAATAATTGTAGATACTGAGGAAGGTGCTAGAGATTTGAATAGATTTGCTCTAACTCAGTCTCTAGCGATAACCAGAAGACATCTGATGTGAACATGCAAATGAATGAAATATAATAATATAATATACCGAGGAAGGTGCTGGAGATTTCAGGGGACTTGCTCTCACTTAATCCCTTGATAACCACAAAACATCTGATGTAAACATGCAAATTCATGGATGAATAATAATAATAATAATAATAATAATAATAGTTTAAGAGAAAAGCGCGATTTATGACAAGAAAAGAAAGTGCTTGGCAATGTCAAGCAATATTTTAACAGAATGTCTCCTTCAAGGTATATACCATGTGAAAATTAATTGAAACAAAATGAACAATTCCGTTATTATTTACATTTTTTCGTGTTTTTTCAATGAAACAAAACCCAGCGCACATGTTAATACTCCGTATGTCCATTCCACGAAGTTGTTCCTTACAGATTGACCAGAGATTCTCGATTGGATTTAAATCAGGAGAGTTTCCGAGCCAGTCGATAGTACTTTGATTTGCTCACTATTAAGGCTTGCCAGTGTGTTCGTGCAGCGTTACTATTTTCGTAAGCTTCTTTGTAATAATGTCCGTCGCTATCAGTGGCCGTAGGACAACTAATCGACAGTCGAGACAATAGTTTCTGGGCGTGCAGAAAATCTGATACAATCACGGTTGACGCAATATTTTTCATAACCAAACAAATTTCATTATACACACAGAAAATAGATTCATATTGCTGCACACCACTGCAAATGACCTAATCTAAGGAAATAATAGAAATTGGTTACACTCCAGGGAGACTGAAATTGGTCGTATGTTGAAAGAAAGGAAACTAAAATGGTTGTTTCAATTAATTCGCACAAGTGTGCATTTAAACAATTTTTTTTTTCAAATATAAAAATATATAAATCAACAAAATAATTATTAGTCTTTTACAAACGTTGCAAGGATTTCTAATTAAAAAATAACAAAAATAAAAAAATAAAATAAAAACGAATGAAACGCCGCCAGCGTGAAGTCCTGCAACTGAAACCTGCTTACCATGATGACGATCTTGTACATCTTAGAATTTTCTGTTCCAAGTTGGTATCTATGCAGACGACACTACAATTTACTCCTGCCTCAAAAACAAATCTAGTGTCGGCGACAAAACTAACCTGGCCGAGCGTCTTGAAATGGACCTCCAATCGGTTGTTTACTGGGGCAAGAACTGGCTGGTCAACTTTAACGCCACAAAAACTAAATTACTCTCCATTAACCACCATAGAGATCCTTCCCTGCCCCCCATTAAAATGTCTGATAGTCAACTTCCTGAGAGCAACTCCCTGCGTCTGCTCGGTCTCACGCTGACTGCTGACCTGAGATGGAACAAATACATTGAATCAATTGCTTCGTCCACCGCGAGGAAAGTTGGCTCTCTGTGCCGTGCCAGGAAATTTTTCTCCCCTGAATCGATACTTCAAATATACAAAACAACCATTCGCCCTTGCATTGAGTATTGCTGCCATATATGGGCTGGAGCACCTTCTGCTTACCTCGGAGTTCTTGACAAGACCCAGGGACGGATATGTAATCTAATTGGTCCTGATCTAGCGTCTCGTCTGCAGTCACTCTCTCACAGACGCGCCGTCGCCTCTCTTTGTCTTTTCTACAAATACTTCCATGGTAACTGCTCTGATGAGCTGCTTTCGCTGGTTCCCAGACTCCATGAATTCAAGCGCCCGTATTGGCACCCTCTGAATATAAGAGTGGGTAAATATCAGCACTGGAAATCTGTAACTTTTACGGAAAGGGAACTGCAGACCCGGTTACGGAAATAGTGCCTGTAACAATTTTATAGGATTTTACAATGCACATAGACAGCACAATCAAAGCTAATCGCCCAGACATTGTGATTAGAGACCGTAAAGACAAAACGTGCCTTCTTGTCGACATGGCAGTCCCTGCAGACTGCAGCGTATCAGTGAACACCGTCAAAAAGCTATCAAAATACAAGGATCTTGAAATCGTAATCTCAAAATCTGACACATGAGAACATCAACAATTCTAGTTGAAGTTAGAGCCATTCAGATTGATTGGAAAAGATTCCAATAGACTCATTGAAGGAATTCCTGGAAGCCCAGACCTTAAAGAAATACAAAAAATTGTACTCACAAGTACAGCCCACACCTTACAAACGGCTTTATCTATGTAAAATATGTTTTTTTTTAATTGGTCAGTGGAAAATATGATGATACCATTTGTGTCCTTAGGCCTCTGGTCGTGACCCGAAAAGAAATAAGTATACACCAGAAATCAAAGGAAATAATAATAATAATAATAATAATAATTGTTATTAAAGATCATAAACAAAAAACTGCCTCCTTAAAAAAAAAGTGCCCCCTTATTGATATGGCAGTCCCTGCAGATTGCAATGAAATCTTTGAAGATATTCAAAAAGCTGTCAAAATACAAGGACCATGAAATAGAAATCTCAAAAATGTTGCACATGGGAACATTAACAATAACTTGTAGTTGGAGCCCTCGGATTGGTTGGAAAAGATTCCAGTAGACTAATCGAAGGGATTCCTGGAAGTCCATGCCTCAAAGAGATACAAAAATTGTTCTGACAAGTACATCCCACACTTTACGAAGGGCTTTATCTATGTAATTTTTTTTTTGTCAGTGGAAAGAGTCATGATGCCATTTCTAACCTTAGGTCCCTGGGCGGGACCCGGAAAGAAATGTGTAAACGCCAGAAATCAAAGAAAATAATAAATAACAATAATAAGGAAACTGCAAAAAATTGGTATGAACACCACCCAGACTCGGTTACGGAGATAAGACCTGTAATAATTTTATGGGAGTACACAATACACACAGAAAGAACAATCAAAGTTAATCACCGAGACATTGTGATTAGAGACCGCAAAGACAAAATGTGACTTTTTATTGACATGGCAGTCCCTGCTCAGAGGAATATGTAATACTGCAATTTCTGACCTTAGGTCTCTGGTCGGGACCCGGAAAGAAATGAGTATACACCGGAAACCAAAGGAAATAAAATAATAATAATCTAAAAAAGGTGGCACATGAGAAAAACAATAATTCCATCTGTAGAATTGATTGGAAAAGATTCCAATAGACTCATTGAAGGGATTCCTGGTAACCTATGACTTAAAGAAATACAAAAAATTGTTCTCACAAGTACAGCCCACGAAGGATTTTTTTTTTCAAAACTGCTCAGTGGAAAATGTCATGATGCCATTGGTATCCTTAGGTCTCTGGTCGGGACCCGGAAAGAAACGAGTATACACCAGAAATCAAAGGAAATAATAATAATAATAATAATAATAATAATAATAATAATTGAAGCGCTATTGACTCAGATATCAAATGTGACCGTGCACCTTGATAGATATGGAGGTTGCAGACGGAAGAGGGATTTAGTTAATGGTGTCGTGGGAGAAAGAAACAGGAAGACGGTTCAGAAGGAGCATAAAAGAAAAAGAGGGAAAATTGAAAGACTGAGAAGTTAGAGAAAGAAAAAGAGAGAAGCAATGAAGGAGAGATAAAGTAAAAGAAAGAAAAGAAAGAAAGAAAGAAAGAAAGAAAGAAGAGAGAGGGAAGACTGAGAGAAAGAAAAAAGGAGACAGATTAAGGGAAATAGAGAACGGGAAAAATATCGGAAGAGTCGAGTCGACATCCTCGGAGAGCGAAACATGAGAAAGAATCAGGGAGCAAATGGCGAATTGTGTGCGGCCACGTACGGCGTCCGATCTGTCTGCCGATCTAGGCTTCCGATTTTAAAGCCATAGGCCTGGAGCGATTCTTTGTGGGCGGAGGAACGAGATGTTCGGTCTGCTTGCATATCGACAGTATTTCTCTCCCCGGCGTGTTCAATAGGCCGGCCGCTTCGTTCCTTGGTTTGCACTTCAAATGGGTTAGTGATTTCCTTTACTGCATCCGGGACCTTTGTCTTCATGGCCTCGGGGCTCAGGATCCCCGGATGGAACCATCATGGCGAAGGTGGTTGGCTTTATTCCTACGTTGTCGCTGTTAAAATAAGAAACGAAGAAGATGAAACGAAAAGAAGTATAAAAAAAATATTGTCTCTGCTAATGTCGATATAAACCCAGGCTTTGAAAAAAAAAATAACAATAATAATAGTGGTGGCATTTTTTATGAAGCGAGAGGACGTAAAAAGTTTAAAGATTAATGAACGAAAGCAAGAAAGGTGGAATGAAAAAGTTGAGGAGAAAAAATAAATGAAAAAGAAAGGAAAAAAATTGATAAAAATGGAATCAAAAAAGTAATAAAATATAAAAGAAGGAAAATGGAGAGAAAGAAAGATATGTAAGATGAAAAGAAGAAAAAAAGAAGGAAAGAGAATTGAGAAGGAGAAAAAAAAAGAGAAGTAAGAAAAAAAGAAGGCAAGAGAATGGAAAACAAAGAAAGAAGGAAAGAGAAGTATGGTAAAAAGAAGGAAAGAGAATGGAAAAGAAAGAAAGAAAGAAAGAAGGAAGGAAAGAAAGAAAAATAAAAGAAAGAGAAGTAAGGAAATAGAATGAAATAAAATGGAAAACAAAGAAAGAAAAATGAAAGAAAGAGAAGTAAGAAAAAAAGAAAAATGAAAGAAAGAGAATTAAGGAAAAAAGAAGGAAAGAGAATGGAAAAGAAAGAAAGAAAGAAAGAAAGAAAGAAAGAAAAATGAAAGAAAGAGAAGTAAGGAAAAAAGAAGGAAAGAGAATGGAAAAGAACGAAAGAAAGAAAGAAAGAAAGAAAGAGAGAAAAATGAAAGAAAGAGAAGTAAGGAAAAAAGAAGGAAAGAGAATGGAAAAGAAAGAAAGAAAGAAAGAAAGAAAGAAAGAAAGAAAAATGAAAGAAAGAGAAGTAAGGGAAAAAGAAGGAAAGAGAATGGAAAACAAAGAAAGAAAGAAAGAAAGAAAGAAAGAAAGAAAAATGAAAGAAAGATAAGGAAAAAAGAAGGAAAGAGAATGGAAAACAAAGAAAGAAAGAAAGAAAAAAGAAAGAAAGAAAGAAAAATGAAAGAAAGATAAGGAAAAAAGAAGGAAAGACAATGGAAAACAAAGAAAGAAAGAAAGAAAAATGAAAAAATAGAAGTAAGGAAAAAAAGAAGGAAATAGGATGGAAAAAAAAAAGAAAAATGGAAAAAAGAGAAGTAAGGAAAAAAGAAGGAAAGAAAATGGAAAACAAAGAAAGAAAGAAAGAAAAATGAAAGAAACAGAAGTAAGGAAAAAAGAAGGAAATAGAATGGAAAACAAAGAAAGAAACGCAGGGAAAAAAGGAAAGAGAATGAAAAGAAAGAAAGAAAGAAAGAAAGAGTATGGAAAAGAAGAAAGAAAGAAAGATAACTAAGGGAAATTACTGAAGTTGAAAGAAAGAAAGATAACTAAGGGAAATTACTGAAGTTGAAAGAAAGAAATGAAAAAAAGAAAAGAAAAGAATATTTGATTAAATTATTTGCTTGTTTTTTACTGTTTATTTAAAGCCAGAAAATATTTTTAGATTGTAAGATTTTTGGGGTAAATAATAATGCTTTACTGATACAAGTCCTACCAGTTAACCCATAGTAGGGGAGAAAAGACGTGGAACCATTTCCCAAGATTTCACCCTTGTGCAAATTAATTGAAACAACCGCTTTAGTTTCCTTTCTTTCACCATACGGTCAATTTTAGATCCACTGGAGTGACAGGGTGTAAAAAATTTCTATTTTTTTTCTCTTAGGTCATTTGTAGCGGTGTTCAGTAATATGAATCTATTTTCGGGGTGGATGATGAAATATATTGTCTCAACTGTCGATTAGTTGTCCTATGACCATTGTCTACGATGGACATTACTCCAAGATGGGTACGAAAATTGCAACGCTGCACGAACACACTGGCAAGCCTGCCTTACCAATGAACAGATCAAGGTACTATAGACTGGCCCGGAAACTCTCCTGATTTAAATCCAATCGAGAATCTGTGGTCAATCTGCAAGGAACGCCTTCTTAGAATGGATATACGAAGTACTAACATGTGCAGTGGGTCATGTTTCATTAAAAAAAAATAGGAAAACATTAAATAACGGAATTATTTGCTATGATTCAATTAATTAACTTACTCAAAGCAGAAAATGTTTTTCCCTCGCAAGAGGTTTTTTGTTATTCCCAAACGGTCACCCAGTTAGGTACTGGCCAGGCTCGATGTTGCTTACCCCCTTGTGCAAACTTCGCCCAATAGCCTTTGCTGGCAACCAGTCTAGAACAGAAAGAAACAGCAACTTACTTCGGGGGACATCTTCTGCCCACTCAATCATGAATAGAAAGAGTCATGATCGCTCAAACGTATATCATCTATGAGATTTCCAGACTAGATTCTCAGTTAGGTCTCATCATTTTACACTTGAAATGTTTCGATGTAATCGTTCTATAATATAGCTTCGTTGTGTTTTTTTCTATAAATACTTTCATGGTAATTATTCTGATGAACTTTCCTCTTTGGTACTAAGGTTTTAAAAATTTAACCGCAGTACTAGATTGGCAATTAGGTCTCATCGTTTTACATTTGATATGGCAAGATGTAACTGTAAGTTCTATGCTAACAGTTTCTTCTCTAGCACTTCTCTCTTCCAGCTTCCTGCTTCCCAGTCAAATTTGTTGTTCAAAAATATAAAGGCAATGTTAATTGTTGTCTTCGTAACTCCGGATTGTTTTTATTGTTCCCTCACCTTGATAGTGTTTTTTTTTTAACTATTAATTCAGACTTATTAAACTTCTGTTTCTTAGTGGCTTTATTACCTTGCTAGGGTTGAAATGATTAAAAACAAAATAAGACTTAGGCGAAGGATAGTAAATTCATTTTTACGGTAAATCTTGGCAATTTCAGATTATTTCCTGAGTTCTCTTTGACAAATACATATTTTCCAACAATTGTTCTTGTGCTTTCGGACCATTTTAAATTTTTTATTGTTCATTTATCTCATTTTGACCGTGGATAACCGAAACCGCTGAAAATGAAAGCGTGGATATGCGGGGACCGACGTATTAAACGGATTTCCTTGACATTTCCTGGCCATTACGATATAATCACTGAACAGGTTGCATTTAAACGATAAGAGAGAGATTGACTGCTTGAGTCGTTTTCTACGGCTTAACAACCATTTCCAGGTTATTTAAAGCCAGGAGATATTTTTAGATGGTAAGAATTTATTTCGGCGGGGGTGAGGATATAATAATGGTTAAGCGATATAAGTAATTTAATAAAATTCAATTCAGTGATAAAAGAAATTTAATAAAATTAACCCATACTTGTGGGAGAAGAGGTGGATTATTAACTATTAAATTTGCGCATAAGTGAATATGACAAACCCATCGAAAATCGGAACTCGGCTCTCCAGTTAACAATTCCGAGCCGTTATCAGCGTACACCACCCGCACATCCAAGCTTACAGCGCCTGGTATTCCCCAGCGGTCACCCATTCAAGGACTGACAAGGCTCGACGTTGCTTATCTTTGATGATCGTAAGGGAATCGATGTTCAATATTAATTCTAACATAGAAAAAGAGATTAAAAGTAGAGATTATGGAGAGAAAATAAAAAGGGGAGAGAGAGAGAAAGAGGGAAAGATAGAGAGAGAGAGTCCAGTTGGAAAGAGAAGAGATAGACAATATCAAGGGAGAGAGAGAGAGAGAGAGTAGAGAGTATGGAGTAAAAGAGTAGAGAAAGTAGGAAGCAGAGAGAGAAAGAGAGAAATAGAGAAGTATATAAAGTGGAGAGAGACAATAGTGACCAAATAAAGAGGACAGAGGGAAGACGAGGGAGGAAAGAGCAGAAAATGAGAGTGTTAAGATAGATAGATAGATAGATAGATAGATAGATAGATAAAGGACAGACTTAGATAGATAGATCGATAGATAGATAGATAGATAGATAGATAGATAGATGAATAGAATAGGGGTATAAGGAGATATCAGGAAGGAGAGAGTGGAGGTAAAAAGATGGAGAGTAGAGAAGAGAAAAAGAAATAGAAGCGGCACAAACATAGAGTGAAAAAGAAAAAGAGAGAAGAGAAAGAGAGAAAAGTGAGAAAGAGAAGATAGCATGCAATGATGGAGCGGCGATAGTAGAAAGAGGGGGAGTGTATTGAATTGAAATAGAAACTGCAGAGAGATATCCAGAGAGTAGAAAGTGCACTGCATACCATGGAAAGCGGCCGGCATTACGACGACAGGAGAGAGGATGCAAACCAAACTCATCGATGGAAGCTCCACATCTGCATCTGTGACGCTCACATAATTTGAGTCCAAGACGGATCGCAGCTCCGACCCGAGTGCACTCATCATCTAGAAGGCTACCGGTAGATGAAGAGGGCACTGCGTTGAGCCAGGCGCCACTAATCAGTTGTGAAGCAGATAGTAGACAGGCGAGGCGATGCTGATCCAGAGAGAGCCTCAAAATAGTAAAATTGGCCTCGCATTTTATTTTATCCCAGCTTTTTAGCTTTGATGTGTCTAGTGGGATAAAAAGTAATTCTTGGGCCCAGATGCTGCAAGCTTGTTCGAAAGAACTACCCGAGAAACACTGAAACGATCCACCGAGTATCTCATCCACCGAGTATCTCAAAAATTGTAGGTCTCGACCGTGGTGATGGAAAGCGGCCGGATGGCATTACCATTTTCCCTTTTAAAATGGGTAACTCGTTGATTTGGGATGAGACCTGTGCGGATATATTTTCGGCCGGTAATTTGAACAGGTCCGCGGTTGAGCCGGGGTCCGACGCCCGGGACACAGAGATAAAAAAAAAATAGTTAAATATTCTTCTCTTGCTGATAGATTTCTTTTTTACTCCTGTGGCAGTGGAGACTTCAGGGGTTATTGGCCCTCGTTCGATGGCGTTCTTTCGGAGGATTGGCGCGATTGCGTCTCGATTAAGGGACACTCCTCATGAAACGGAGTGGCTCTTGCAGCGTGTCTCACTGGCGATGGTTCGAGGTAATGCTTTCTCCATCATTGCGGCTGGCAGAGGATAGCAAAAAAAAAATTGTTTATAGTTTCTGGAATTGTCATCAATGGTCACCTGAACTTGCAATGTTTCAATAAATTGGAATATTTTAAAAGTAGAAAGTAACGAAATGTAAGAAAGTCTGACGTAATAATGACGTCACTCCATCGTGCGACATTTTCCTTTTTCGATTAGTTTCTCTCGTCTTATCTCTGTGTTTCTCTCCCTTAAAATCTATGTTTTGTATTTGTTAAAAAAAAACAAACACTTTCTCGTATAAATTATTGGCTGTCAAACAAGCCCGTACTAACAGAATTTACAGTGGTTAAGAAATCGTAGCCAGTTTCTCTCCAAGAATCTATATACGCCTACCATTCGTTCATGATTAGAATATTGCTGCTGCACATAGTCCAGTGCCTCTGCTATTTGCCTTGAGCTCTTTGATAAAATCCAAAGAACAATCAGCAATATATTTGGTTCTGATCTGGCATCTCGGCTTCAGTCACTTTCCCACCTCCGTAAGATTGCCTCTCTGTATCTTTTCTATAAATACTTTCATCGTAAAAGTTCGGATAAGCCTTTGCCTATTGTACCAAGAAATTTTGAATTTAAGAGAAGTACTAGACTGGCACCTTGACCTCATCAATTTACAGATGAGTTGGCGAGAAGTAACCGTAAGTTCTATGCTAACAGTTTCTTCTCTCGTACTTTTCCCTTGTGGAACGCCTTTCCGGTTCCATGTTTTCCAGACAAAATTTAAATGCAATGTCAATCGCTATCTACTATCCTCCTGGTTACTCTTTACTCTTCCTGCTCATTATTAATGATTCTGTTCTTATATTTACCACTAATATTATCTGTAAATGTAAACAAATGACGTCATATATTAAGAAATGGACAAAGTCCGACAATTTATTTATTAAAGACATTTTTATGTTTAACTTTTTTTTTTTTTGTTTACAGTTGATACGCCATGAGCAGTTATGAATGTACGAGATTCATGGAAGATTGAAGTTTATAAGCAGTAAATTCAACCTTGCCAACCGAACGATCCTTTGTGGCCGAGAGGTTAGGCACGTCAGCGTAAACGACGGTTCCGTATAGGATGCAGGTTCGAATCCTGTCAAAGGACGAATATTTTCTATGAAAATTTCTCGGACATTCAGGCCGGTAAATGTTATTTAATACTGTTTATTATAAACAGAGCATTTACTTAAATACTTGTATCTATAAAAAAACAACGTTAAACATAAAAATGTCTTTAATAAATAAATTGTCGGACTTTGTCCATTTCTTAATATATATATATATATTAAGGAAAAGCAGACCACTTTAAGGTTCCATTATAGTAATTTATTTCACCAGAGCCCTTTTAAGGGACCCTGGATCATCAGATAACACTTTCAAAAAAATGAAACGAAAGATGAAATGAAAATTCACACTTTTGACGGGTAGTATTAAGTTTATGTAATTTAACAGAGAGGGTAGCGAGGTGTGGTGTGAGAGGCATGGTTGAGTTTAGAGAGGGTTTATTTTAATATTTCTTTCAATCATACTTAGTATTGGGGGAGGAGGGACCAGCCCTTGACCTATTCAAACGGTTAACGGAAGTGATATATTGAAATGGGAGGGGAGAAGAGAGAAAAAGGAAAAGAAAAAAGAAAGAAGGGGGAAGTAAAGAGACAGAAGCTGTAAATAGGTTTTACGTAGGAAGAAGAGGGGTGGTATATTTTTAGCAATTTATGTAAAAAATAGATTTTAATGTTTGATAGTAATTTAAATGTTAAAAAAACACGAAGAAATTAATTTGATGCTTGCTAGCAATTTAAAGATTTAACTCTTTTACAAATAATTTAGGGATTTTATATAACTTAAATACTGTATTTATTAACACATTCATAGGGAACACATTAAAGGAATTTTTAAAAATATAACAGTTTACTGATAGTAATCTTTAATATTGTAAATGACTGTCAAGGTAACATCATTATCAGTTTCAATCTAATTCATGAATGTAATTTGTAACTATTTTTAGATGGGTAATATTCCTTAGTTAAAGTTTAGGATTCAAATTAAGATGGGGTAATATTTGAAGGTAATATTAAAGATTTTTGTTTTCCTTTATATATATCCCACATATAAATTTATGTAAAATTTACCCCATCATAATTTTAAACCTAAACTTTAACTAAGGAAGATTACCCATCTAAAAATAGTTGTAAAAAATGTAAAATTTACACATTCTCTGGTGTCATATATATATATATATATATATATATATATATATATATATATATATATATATATATATAAGTATATAATTGGTATATATGGAATGAATTCCAATAACCAACAAATACTATTCTTAAAAGAGTGCTCAATACAAAGTAGAGCAGATATAATTATTTTTTATAAAAAAAAATTATCAAGTGATGATGTTGAAAATAAAATTATCAAGTGATGATGTTGAAAATAAAATTTTATTTTCAACATCATCACTTGATAAGACACAGAGTGTGTTGAAACAAAATGGCTATTTTTGGAGTGATTTTATAACATACTTATGTTATAGTTTTTTTTTATAAAAATAATTATATATATATATATATGTTTTTTTGATATAGATATATATTCTATACATATATATATATATATATATATATATATACATACAGAGAGAGAGAGAGAGAGAGAGAGAAAGTGATAGATTTATTTATTTATTTATTAATCCGACAGATTTAAGTAATACATATATATATATATATATATATGTGTGTGTGTGTGTGTGTGTGTGTGTGTGTGTGTGTGTGTGTGTGTGGGTGTTTATGTTTGTGTGTGTGGTCTGCGCGTATATAAACAGCGTGGGCGTAAGAATCAACACTGTTTTCATAGTTGCGGATCCTATTCCTCCGTTAAACTGTTATCCACCAAACTGTGTTGATTCCTATTGCCCACCCTCTCTCGCTCTCTCTCTCTATCTCTCTCGCTCTCTCTCTCGCTCTCTCTCTCGCTCTCTCTCTCTCTATATATATATATATATATATATATATATATATATATATATGTATATGTCTGTCTGTGTGTGTGTGCCTGCGTGTATGCACATATCTCTCTCTGTATCTATGTATCTATCTATCACTCTCTCTCTCTCTCTCTCTCTATATATATATATATATATATATATATATATATATAGTTTATGCAAATTTAGGTAATCCGTATGGGTAGACCTGAGGAGGATGATATCCAGAGGCTCAATATCCTCTCCCCACCTCACTTCCTCACTTCGTTAATTTTACGTATACTTGATGAGGTCCGTAAAAAACGTGTGAATTTCTTTTCATTTTTCATTTCAGCTTTTGGAAGTAAGTCTGATGATCCAGAACCCTGTTAAAGGGGTTATGGTGAAATAACAATTACATGCAATCTTAACGTGGTCTGTCTTTTATTCAAAAAAAAAAAAATATATATATATATATATATATATATATATACTATATACTAGAGTGTAAATATAAGTCTGCAGTCTGATCCGTTGTTGTGTGAATTTCAAGAAACGTCCCACAACGCAAGAGGACACTATTGTGATAAACATTTGCAAACGGTTAAATATCGGCATATTAAGTGGCAATAAAAGGTTTGGGAGTCCTATTTTTTATTGTCTAATTAATGTCCATTAAGTACCTCGTTTGTAAAGAATCTCTTCAGGCAGGTCGAACTCTCCTGGGAGAAAAGGGACAACGCTTCAGGACTCGAAACGACTTGAGACGACGAAAGAAGAACAGATGTCATTCGCCAGGCAACAAAAAAAAATGTCTTTTTTTCTCTCGTTTTTTTTTCTGCTTTTATTTGAAATTACTTTTTCTTTTTTATTTCATTCTTCCTTTCTGTTTTTCTTTCTGTTTTTGTTGTTGTTTATATTTACATTTTTGATTGCCACTTTGTTACTTACATCTTTCGATGTTTAATAAGCTTGTTTTCAATTTTTCAACCACCAGATGTTAGATCTTTATTTTATCAAATGTAAGTAACAGCTTTATTGAACTTGAATGCTGAAACGCGATTAACCCATTACCTGCCATGAACCCCATTTGGGGATCC